TCTTTTTGGGTGATTCTCTTATTTCTTGGAAGAGTAAGAAACAATCTATTGTTTCTCAATCTTCAACTGAAGCAGAATATCGTGCTATGACATCTATTACCAAAGAGATTGTTTGGTTACGTTGGTTACTTGCAGATATAGAAGTTTCTCTTTCTCATCCCACTCCTATGTATTGTGACAACCGGAGTTCTATTCAGATTGCTCACAACTCAGTTTTTCATGAACGAACTAAGTACATTGAGATCGATTGTCACCTTACTCGTCATCATCTCAAGCATGACACCATACTTTGCCCTTTGTTTCTTCTTCTTTGCAGATTGCAGATTTCTTTACCAAATCGCATTCTATTTCCCGTTTTCGTTTTCTAGTTGGCAAACTCTCGATGCTTGTCGCTGCTGCATCGTGAGTTTGAGGGGAGATGTTAAGAAATATAAGGTTATTTTGTTTATTAAGGGTAAAATAGTCCTTTATTTTTCTTGCTTTGTTTAGCTTATATATAGTCTCTTTGTATTTAGGTTAATTTACTTCCTTGTATTCAATTGAATTATGCAGTATCAATAAAACCCTAGTCTCATCTTTTCTTATATTTTGTATTTCTTTAGATTGTTCAACAGGCGTAACACATGAGGTGGTTGAGGCTTGCGATACGTACTCTGATTCTTTTCCTAAGATGAAGATCTCACGTGTGTCACTAGTAGATTGAGTTTTCCAAAACAATAGGCTTGATCCTCGTTGGTTTGTATTTCTGATTTGGGCTTGGCTGCACATGTAAGTTGGGCTTAGTCTGGGTTGGGTTGCATCTATGAGCTGTGACTGACCTATATTTATAAATTGGGCCTGGTTTGGGCCGAGCCCGTCAATCCCTATCAAGCAAATTTAGTTAACATAAACTCCGCTCTAGCTAAACATGTCTTATACATGACACGAACCTGAATATGCTTGATTATAAATAAATCAGGTATAGTTTGAATAAATTTTGACACAACACGACTTCAACACGATAAGAGTCTAAAAAAGTATCATCCATTCACAGGCTTAACCACTATTGCATACCATCTACAAATGCAATAAGTAGACACGAATTCATATCTTGTACAATTAGACCTGTGTCTATCTGCTGCTTTGCCTAATCAAACTTGCCAACTAATTGTTCTAGCTAAAGAAAAATGACATTTCAGCTATGAAATTCGGCCAAACCTTCGACATTTGAATGACTTGGGTTCGACTTGAGTTTAGTTGCTGAGCTCAAAAAAAGAAACAAAAAAAGAAACAAAATTGGCGAAATAAAATTTTTATTAAGCTTAGCTCAATTTTTGGATCTTATGGGTTCTACACGACTCAAATTAATTTTAGATTTAAATGTGTGAATTTGAGCTGAGATTCGATTGAATCCAAAAAATAAACATGAGACACGAACATAGAGCCTTCTGCTTAGAAGTCAAAGCATTGTACATTGGGCTAAGGATACCACAATTTTTTCATTTTTTTTTTGTCAAGAAAAATATTTATACCATAAAGAAGTTAGAGTTCAGCTCAAAAATACACACCTAATGAGACTTGAACATGCAGTTTTTAGTTTACAATCAAAACATTATACATTAGGCTAAGGACACCACCAAATTTTTTTTTAAAAATTTTTTCACCACGAAAAATATTTATATATTACATCCTAAAGAAGTTGAGTTCAACTCATAGAACTTTGTGACACATTATTTGGATTCAACTTGAATAATTTTATCGCTAATATGAACTAATTTAAACTAGTTAAAATTGACCCGAACTTAAATAACTTGATTTGTTTAACGGTCCTATGATTTAAAATATAATTATGCTTTTCTGTCTTTCTCTACTAGACATTTAGTATGTAAAAAATCGTTACAAAGTTCCTAATAAATCTCAGACATCTCTAATCTTTTTTGATTTTAAATGTTAGGATTCGCCCCAAAATTTAAACTTGAAAGTAAATAAATGTTGTACTCTGAAGAATTTAGAAAAGAAATTAAAATTTGGAATCCTAGCAAGTAAAAAGTGCATTGAATTTGAAGGTCACGGGAGGTGGTTTTTAGCATCGGACAACCCAATTCACCGCGGACAAAAAAGTGTAGTTGTCACGTGACATATTGATAGTCACTTCAAGATCTGTCACAGTGGCCAGTTTCATAAATCAGTTTTGTCACAAGTTCCCTTTGAGAATGTTCTTGTAAAATTTTAGATGGGCATTCGTATGTATTAGACACCTCATCTACGTGACACCTCAATTGGGACCTAAAAAGTAGGTTCCATAAAAAAATCAATGCTAATCATTTTGACACCTCAATTGATATAGAGAATTTTGTAAATATGTTTGACAAGCATAACATTATTCATTCGTCTTCCTTATTGTTGGTGGAGTTTGATCCCGCACTGGACCATATTGCCCCCACTCGGAATGTGCCTCGAGTTGGGCATAGGTTGAAGTTGTGCAGTTCTAATCTAGAATCACACGATACTGATCCAATCCAGATCAAACTCCACCAACTATAAAGGAATCGTTTTGGAGCTACAATGAGTCTGTTTGGGGTAAACTGAAAATTTTATTTATTTATTTGTTATAGAGAAAAAAAAGTTTAGTTTATTTGGACGTAAACATACTGGGGGGGGGCATTTCCATTTTTTTTTTTTTGGGGTAAAAATAGTTTTTATCAGAATTAAGGAAAAATTGAAAAATGAGGCTTATTCAAGAGTTTTTATAAAAAAAACAAATTTTTTTGAAAATACTCAAATGGTACCAAAAACTTTTTTAACTCTAACATTTTCATTTCACTTTTTAAACATTTGTTTCACACTTAAAAAAATCAACTTCAAATGGATTTTATTATTTTTGACATATATATATATATATATATATATATATATATATATATATATATATATATATATATATCTGTGTGTGTGTGACTTTTGGAGCTAGATAAATGTTGATATAGCTCCATTATTTTGGTAATTTATGATCAAACGATTAAGCAAAGATGATTTATAATATTTTTCTAAGCGGTTAAAAGAAAAGATGACCATTTGAACACTTTTTAATTAGGTGTTAGAGTAAACACGAAGTAAAGGCAACTTCAGTTTTTTTTTTTTTCGAACAAAAGACAACCTCAGTTCAAATGCCATCATTACTTCAACTTTTATATCTTTGACCACAGAGAATAAAGAGGGAGTAATCTTGTATAACATTCGTATATATATATATATATATATATATTCTTAATTACACTTTAACACTAGATTTTAAAGCACAAAGGCCAAACTTTAATGACCCAAACAAACTTAACTCACAAGTCCCACCTGCCCTTGTATTTCTAATACATCAATCAAACAAAGCAGCTGCCAAATAAAAAATACCAACATTATCAAATTGTTAAGAATGCCATTACCTTTTTTTTTTTGGGACAAATGAACACCCTTAACTATTAGGGTTCTCACCAAATTCAGAATCGGTCATATTGTATCAAAATTTGCCCATATATACCATTTATTTTAGTAGTTTATGTTCATTCCGCTGTCTAATCATATATAAGTCGTGCGTAGTTGTATTCGTGCTGACCATTTATGCATAGGGTTTGATGGGATTGATCTAGTTTATGATCCGAAATTCATTAAGACCAAAATCACGCTCAATCATTTTATATACATTTTTTTGCCGGATTGATGAATCTCGATAAGAATTGCGGGTGATAATATATTCACTATGTTGTAGATAAATCTCTTTGTTGAATTTCTATAGTTCAGCCCATTGTGCCATATGTCCAAACCCCATTTGATAGTAATTGTCAAAGATTAGTCCAACTGCCCAAATGCCTTTCAAAGAATCAGTGGTTCAATTTCATTTTTAATGCAAGTTGTTTGACAGTTCCATCGTGTCGCAGTTGAAACATAGACCATGAAACCAACAAACCTACCAAGACGTACAAATAAATTTAGGGCAACTTACACTTTGATTCTCTCAATTTGTCCTTTCTTTTTACACTGTTCCCTCAACTATCATGTTGTTTACATTGTACCTTAAACTATATGTTATTAGTTTCATATTGCTCAAATTATTAACATTTGTTATAAATTTGGCAAAAAATTATTTCATTTTGCCCCGAAACTATATAATGTTGTGTCACTTTGCCCCGACAAATTGTCATATTCTTTCCAAAAGATAACGGACATTTGCGTTTGAAAAGTGTCAAAGTAATTGAAATAGTTAGCTAAAAAATTCATTAATTCAAGAGGCAAAAGTGAAATAATTCTGTAGGTATGGGGGTCAAAGTGTAGTTCTAGCATAAACTTAAAAATATTAGTAAATTCTATGTCCAGGAACCTCCATTTTCTACTCGCTTGACCGAACAAATTTGCAGAAGTCAACCTTAAATACCTAACACCCAACTCAGGAAAAAAGTTAGTCTTCATAGCTTTAACTTTGGTTATTACACATTAATTCATCATTCAATATGTCACAAATACATACATATATACATACATAATATATCTATATATATGTAATTTAACCTTTTGAAATCATATGTATGCATGAAATTCAGCAAGGATTCTGTAACGGACTTGAACCACTTTCTCTTGTTGTAGCTTCCACATTTCCTTTTTCTACTTTCCAAAAACACTTTTGCCTATAATATTACAATACCAGCTAAATTACACACAAAAACCAACCCATTCCAAGGAGCTCTTAAACAATATCGAGCAAAAGCACCTAGTAGAAACACACACATATTACGTATTCTTCTACGGAGGTAAGTTTTGTCAATGTTACTACAGCATTCTTAAACTTTGATTTTTTGTTTATTTCATTTGTTTATATGTTTGTCTGCCCAATTTTGGCGTTATTTTTTTTTCTTCCTGTTTTTACAATCTATCGGTGACTGTGAGTGTTTTGAATGACATTTTAGAGGTGATTTTATGTTGTATATAGGTGTAATGGACTGTATTGAAATGAAGAAGATGGGTTGGAAGATGCAATGGGGTTCGCTTTTCGGGTGGCTCGGAATTATCTTTCACTTGTTCTTGCTTACCGAATGTGCCGTGAGAAGGCAGTTAGGTTCTTACTCATCTCTTGCTTTTTATCATCTGTATACTTATACCGCCATCTATATTTGAGAAACACCATTAATTTTTCTGCATTTCTGTTTCAACCAGTAAGAGAAATGAATCGTTTAAATGACTAGTGTGTAGACTGTAAAATATATTTCAGTAATCCAGGTTGAAACTAAAGTAGGTAGTAGCTTGTGAAGAAGACAACCAAAATATGTATTTTTCCCCCATTGTTTTTAGCTTTTGTCTTTATTTCCACACTTTTTTTTTCCTTAAAGAAAGGTCTATTTATTTTCCTCGTAAAAGGAAAAAATGAAATAATAGACCCCCCCCAAAAAAAAAAAAACCAATTTCCCATGTACTAAACCCTCAACTTTTTCCTGCAAAAAAAAAAAAACTCATAAATTACTTGATGAGAGAAAATTCATATGAGGATGTTATTTTAATTTTGGTAAAGTTAACCTATAATTTTAAGGGATAGCTCAAGTAGTAACAAAAACTAATTGTAAACTCGAACGTCTTGAATTCGAATCTTGACAATCGCTCATGATTATCTTATTCCCGACGTGAACAACTTGTTTTTGACCAGACTGAAGAGCTGATTAATCGAAGTGTGTGTTAGTTGATTTAGCCTTATTCTTTGGTGGTAATATTTACCACATGAATTTGTGCAGACTTTATTTCTTATGTAACCGTTATTGCCGGTGCAATTACGCGGGAAGAACATCCTCTCTCTCTCTTTCTCTGTTGTTTCTGATGTCTTCTCTTTACCTTTTCGTGAGAGTCTTCATGGTATTTTTAGAACTTAGCGAAAGTGACATATTGTACCCTCTCCCCCCACAATACACTCTTGTGAACATGTCCTCGCAAAAAGTTAAAAAAAGTTACATTCTAATTTCTCGTGATGTTTCCACCTACCTCAAATCAACTTTACACAACAAAATATGTATGTCCTTCCTTATATGTATGCTCTACCTTAACATCTTCACCTTTTATATCTGCTAAATTTAAGTTTATTTTAAATGTCATAAACAATTTGTTCTTTCTTTTGTTAAAATTTGTAGAGGAACTACGAGGAACAACGACGACGACATGGTGCCATCTTCTCCCGTCCAATTACAACTTCAAGATAGCCACGTAAAATTGCATTTTCAATATCTTTTAATTATCATTTAAACTTCGCAATATGTGACATAAATTAAAGAGAATCAAAGTCATTTGTTTAGAATTTATATACGTGTGTGCGTGGGAGCACACTTAGGCTAAATTGACCTATGAATTGTCAAAATTTTATTTTCTGCTAAAGTCGGCTTCCTAAGATAATGTAATGACCAGTATATATTTTTGTTTCTGTTTTTCAGGTGGTGGTGGACAATGGCATAGTTCGGTTAACTTTCTCGAGGCCGGAGGGTATGGTCACAGGGATACAGTACAAAGAAATAGACAATTTATTGGAAGACAGTAATACAGAAACAGACAGAGGGTAGGTGCTTATAATTTTTTGAATATTCTTCCAAAGATTGCGCACCCAAGAGTACGATGGATAAGGGGCCGTGTCGGGTCAAAATTTTGTCTAATTCATACCTAAATTCATTTATAATCCAATATTGTCAATTTCGTGTCATGTATAGACTATGTTTAGAAAGTTCATGTCAACCCACTATTTGACTGGTACAACAAGTTCATTTTTTTACTACCCAAATACGTTAGAACTAAATCTACCTTTGTTAATTTTGTATCGTATTCGCGAGTCATATTTATAATTCTCAGGCCTACACAAGAGTAGATTTTCCAAACAGATCCATCTAGAACTATACATTTCTCCATCCTTACAGTTTGGTTGGATTTTAATGAATGCAGGTATTGGAATCTCGTTTATACCTGGCCACCAGAGCATCCCAACGACATTTTTGACAAGTAAGTTCTGTATGTGGTTTAAAAAGGCACGCATTGCTTAGCACCAAGTTTGTCAATTGATCGAGTTTTGATTCGAAATCGTTTATCCAAATATGGATTTGAACAAACTTCTGACCAGCAAATCGAATCGAAGTTCGAATTAGTTTATCATATTTATTGAATTGAATTTGGATATAAAAAATCCAATCCGATTATAATTTTGATTTGAATTTTACTATAATGATAAAACTAAATAGTAATGTGAGGAATTTGTATCAAAATTTGTAGGTAATTTTTCAAAATTCGGTGCAACTAAGTTACCCGTATCAAATATTTTGAACCAGACTTCAAATTGTCAAATATATGAATTGGATTGGGTTTGTATTTAGAGTGGGAAAACCCCGATATAAATCTGATCCATTGACAAGCATAATTATCCCCCATCAAAGAGAACATGCAATAAGTGGGAAAGGGCTCATGCTTTGAGAGGAGAAGTCCTTTTTTTTTTTAAACCAGCATTGCTTAAGTGGTTGTTTTGCAGGGTAGAAGGCACGACGTTCAATGTTATAATGGAAGATGAAGATCAAATAGAGCTTTCATTTACTAAAACATGGGACCCTTCCCTCAATGATACCGGACTTCCCCTCAATATAGACAAAAGGTATTGTATATATATACTTACTATTTAGTGTCGTCCTTTTTCAAGTATTTTTTTTTAAGTGACATCTTTTAGCATTTTTATTTATTTTTTCTCGTTCGGACGAACACATTTCTCTTATATTTAACCGCATCCCCAATAGTATTTATATTCTCTATTTTATGTAAATCGCTCTTCTAATGTAGTGATTGTACATTTTTTTTTTCTCTCTTATGACAATTATTTTTTTGCATAGAAAATTACTTAAAAAAATGTTATCGAACAACTTTTTGTTACTCATTTTGTAGGTTTATAGTGTTGCGTGGGTCTCCAGGGTTCTACTCATATGCAATATTTGAGCGCTTAGAGGGATGGCCTGACATAAATATGTACGAAGGGAGGATTGTATTCAAGCTCAAAGAAAACATGTATGACACACAAATTATTATATTAAGAATAATAATTCATTATGATATCATCATCAGCATTATTATTTTTCATTTTGTTTACTTATTCGCGTAAAACATATTTAATTACAGGCCTATTATCATATGCTTGATTACCCACAAACATTTTTCCTTTTTTTTTTTTGTTTCCTACTAGCAACAAGAACAGAAAATTTTTCAATTTGAATTTTTGATAAATTATACTTTAACCCCTTTAACTATCTATGTGTGTTTGTCTCATGTTGCTCTCTTAATTGTTATATTTATCACATTACACTTCTTACTATAGTATGTTTAATGATAATGTGTTGTATAATTAGGTTTCAGTTCATGGCTATATCGGATGAAAGGCAAAGGATAATGCCAATGTACAAAGACCGTCAAACAGGTCAGGTCCTCGACTACAAAGAAGCTGTTTTACTAACAAATCCAGAAAATCCATTCCTCAAAGGAGAGGTAAGAGAGCCTTTTATTTCACTCGCCTACTTATGTTGTGGAATCGTAACAACTTGGCTTGTTTGTTGATCCTCATTCTCTCAATTTCAAATTTTGCTAAGGTCCGTTAAAGTTCAATCATCCATCATATAAATTCATTGTGTTTCATAACTATGGTGGTCGGGTCGGTCTTACACCAAACCGGGCTTACCCAGTGCGTCAATAAAAGAAACAAATCTGTTCCAACATATTTTTTTTTTGGAATTTAGTGGTGAGATGTATTGGGTTATGGGCCAAACATCTCTGTCTGGCCAACAAAGGCCCATAACCCTACTTGTTGGACTAACAGGGCGCCCTTGGGTTTCTGGTCCAGCCCGTGAGCCGTGAACCATATTTAGTGTTCCACATATAAAATCATCGCCGGGGTCAATGAATTGAAAATGATGATTGAATTTGACGAGAATTTAGATTGAAATTATCCAAATTTTATTTTCTTGTGTTTTAGGAGGTTGGACAAATTAATTTGTACATATTCAACTTAAACTTAATGTGATTTGATATTACGATATTCAGGTGGACGACAAGTACCAATACTCGAGTGATAACAAGGATAGTCGGGTTCACGGGTGGATATGCTCCGACCCATCCATAGGATTTTGGATGATAACAGCGAGTAATGAGTTCCGCACTGCTGGGCCAGTCAAGCAAGACCTCACTTCTCACACCGGCCCATATACAATTTTTGTAAGTACACATATGACCAAGCTCTTCCACCATCGATATCTAGGCTAGTTTATGCATATCTTAACTAATTTTTTTTTGTCCAATCAAAGGTAAGTTATCCACACAGGAACTAGGGTACTCATGAATAATAAATCACTCATGATGTAATTCCAAAGAATTATCAAGATTTGAACTAAGATAGTGTGTAAATTTTGAGTTTTTACCTCCCAAGTACTCCTCTATTCCTATATTTGAAATTCGTCTCTAATCTTTCCCCTTAGTGCTTGCTGAGACTTAAGAGTAAAACCCAAAGCATCATCAATTTAGCGAAACATCATTTGATCCCTAATTTTTATTTTATTTTTTTGTCGGTGTAAAAATTTCTATTGTTCAATATTGGGCTTCTTTGGGGATGATTTTTTTAGTTTTTGGAGGATAAAGAGGAGAACAAGTCTTATCCATTTGGACTTGGGCTTATTGGACAACTTTTCCATTAATTTTTTGAACAAAAATAGCTTTTATCAACACCAAAGAAAAACTGAAAAAATAAAGTTTATCTAAGGACTTCTAAGGAAAAATTGACTTTTTCGAAAATACTTCAAACAATTTTAAGAGTTTTTTTAACTCAGATTTTTTCATTTCATTTTTCAAATCTCTGTTTTGCATCCAAAAAAACTAACCTCAATCGGACCCAACGGACAGATGTTTTTCTTCATTCTTCGATGCACAACGCTTTATTAAGTTTTTTTTTGGGAAGGTCACTTCATTTACCACTTAAAATAACCTCTGTTTACCATTTTGCCTTCAATTATTCAGTATTTCTTTAGTACACATTATGCCGGAAAATCTTTGGGAATCAAATTCCGTGGCGGAGAGCCATGGAAGAAGGTTTTTGGTCCTGTTTTTATCTATCTCAACTCCGTTCAACCCGATGAGGATCCTCTTACACTCTGGACAGATGCTAAAGAGCAGGTATTATTTTGTCGATCTTGGATTGATTGATTTGTTATTATTAGTTACAAAAAATTATATAAAATAAAATAAAAAAATAAAAAAAACTTTACAAGTATAATGCATTTATTGGATAATAAGAAATAGAGGTATACTATCGAAAAATTAATCATTAACTCTTGTAACTATAATTTTTTCCCCCCAGATGTTTATAGAAACAGAAAGCTGGCCATATGATTTCCCACTTTCAGAAGATTATCATTTTGCAGGTCAACGTGGTTCAGTTACCGGACGATTGCTGGTTCGCGATAGGTACTTCCATGGATTGTGTTGTGTCAAGTCATATTAGTTGTGTCGTGCAAATTAATTAAACATATATCAATCCATTTCTAGCCATCTAAAGTTGTGTTTGGTCTAGTCTATAAGCCACATTAGTCAAATTCATAGTGTGTCTATGCAGGTTATTGTTGGCTCAATTCATAAATAAGTTTAGTGGATCAATCCGCTTATAACCTGATATCATAAAAACCAAATTCATACCTTTTAATTTCGTTTCGATTTCGAGCATCATGTAATCAATTGTCAGCCCTCTTATTGAGTAGTGTTAATATTCTTGTGCAGGTACTTTAACAAAGAGATTATGGCAGCAAACTCTGCTTATGTTGGGTTGGCTCCACCAGGAGATGCCGGATCTTGGCAAAGAGAAAACATGGTTACCTTCTTGCTGCATTGATTTATTTTTATTTTTTATGGCATTGTTTGACTAATAAGGTGTAAAATTGTTCTCAGGGTTACCAATTTTGGACTCAAGCTGATGTTGAGGGGTACTTCTCGATTAGAGGTGTCCGAGCTGGGAATTATAGCTTGTATGCTTGGGTTCCTGGATTTATTGGAGACTATAAATACAATATTTATGTTAGCGTTACGCCAGGTTTGCCTCCAAATTTGAACCCAAACCCAAATCTGAATCTCAATCCATCAGCGCTATCTTTTTTGTTTTTTGGCTTTTAACTTAAGAAAGTATAAGGGTAAATTATACTTTAGCCCCCCAAGCTATGGACTTGAGTTCACTTTGCTCATTGAACTATTGATTTTTTTACATGCTCAACTATTTAAATTATTTCACATTGTCCCAATTGAAAACGTATGTTATCTTTTTGGATGAAAATTCTTGACATGTTGGACAAAGTGAAAAAATTTACACAATTCGGGAGGCAAAATGAAACAACCTTTTGATAAATATATAATGGACGTTGATAATTGGGGCAATGTAAAACTAATTAAATAGTTGAGGGCGCAATATAAAAAATATAATAGTTGAAGGACAATTATAAAAAAAGGGTCAGTTGAAGGGGTTAAAATAAAATTTGCCCAAACTATAATGGGGCTGCATATTCTACAAGTTTAGGGTGAATGTATTTTTAACTGGGATTATGCGGCTATGTACATGTAAAATTGACTTATGACATACATATATGGTTGAAAAACAGGAAGTAGAATCAGGTTAGGCAATCTAGTATACAATCCTCCAAGAAGTGGTCCAACATTATGGGAAATCGGCATCCCAGACCGTACTGCAGCAGAGTTCTACGTGCCTGACCCTAACCCGACTCTCATGAACAAGTTGTACATCGATCGGACAGACAAGTTAGTTAGCACTCATCAACCAAATTGCTCACTCATTTTAACTTGTTAATAAGGTAACATTTGGTTTTTTATCGAACAGGTTCAGGCAATATGGACTGTGGGATCGGTATTCAGAAGTATATCCTGATGAAGATCTGTCCTACACAGTTGGTGTTAGCAATTACCAGACGGACTGGTTCTTTGCTCATGTCAACAGGTGTTTGATAATTATTTTTTTTGAGGACAACTGCACTTTGACTCCCTCAACTATGCCATATTTCTCTTGTTACTCCTTCAATTATCATGTTTTTTTAACATTGTACCTCCAACTGCGGTTATTAACTTCACACGACTTAGTGATTATGCCGATGCTAATTTTAAACATTTACTGCAGGAATACAGGAAATAAAACTTATATACCATCAACATGGCAAATTTTATTTGATCTCGAAAACATTGATGAGTCTGATAATTATACTCTCCAACTGGCATTGGCGTCAGCTAATGAAGCAGAGTTGCAAGTATAAGTTTTTCAGGTTCGGATTACAAAACTGAATAATTCAATATATTATTTTACTAATCGACATTCTAATGAATTTTTCAGGTTCGGATAAACGACGGAGAGGCGGCAGACCCACACTTCACCACCGGGGTAATCGGCAACGACAACGCCATTGCCAGACATGGGATTCATGGGTTATATTGGTTATTCAGTGTAGATGTACCTGGCAGTATACTTCACAATGGAAACAATACAATCTATCTGAAACAGTCCAGAGGCAAAATCCCTTGGAAAGGACTCATGTATGACTATATCCGTTTAGAAGGACCATCTGAATCAAATTAAAATAGGTTCAGGATACGATTGAGTATATTTAACCCTTCTCATGTAACATAGTGGCGGGAGTCTCGTGAAATGAGGTGCCCTTAATTATGAGTATGAACGTTACATTTTTCTTTGCTGACAGAAATAAAAGAAATGAGTATAGATAGTAGTTTCATTTCGTAGGAGGCAGCTAGAGCCAATTGTTTGAGACTCGACCATTTTTAAGAAAATGTATTTCACTCTGTTCACACTCTTACATTGAGCAATTATCGAAACAATGTCATTCAAATAGATAATTTATTTTTTGATATGCAGTGATGTGAATAACACCATCTTACATTCAAAATTCCTGCTAACATTAATTTTTGAAAAATAATTTTGATGCATAAATAAATTTTAATTCTTTTTCTTTAGGTCTTTAATCGATAACATAGAAAACTTTTGGTCCCATATTTCTTTTTATCGAGTACTACAAATTATTAATAATGTGATCATAATGAATCACTCAATGAGGAAATAAGAAGATGAAGTTCATCAAAGAAAACTTATTCCCATCCCTCCCTGCTCACAAAAAAGAAAAAGAGAAAAAGAGAAACTAGTAGTAAAAGGCTTAAAGCTAAAAAATTATAATAATTCTAGAAATGTAACCTATAATCTTACTAGTTCGAGGATGCAACCTAGTCTCTTGAATTGTGAAATGTGACTCTAACCTCACAAATTTCATTTAATCTCATTTCCCTGTTTGTTGTTACGTCTCAATTAATTAACCAATCTCTTCCCACTCTAGAAAACCCTATATATGATAGTCAACCATATGTAGCACCTTCTCGACTACAATTCAGAAACAAATATAGCAAGAGTACTTTAACAGTAAAATCTCCTAACCTCATATCATTGCCCAAAATGCACTAAATGTTCACTACTCACTGAAAAGGAACGTTTTCCATGAAGTACTAATATTGAATAGGGTCATTAATTCAACGATCTAACCTTACCCAATAAAACCCGTTTGGATTTGAACCTAAGTACTCTTAAGTCTTTTTTTTTTCTCTTTGGGTGGGCGGTGGATATTTAGACACTATTAATGACATATGCCTAACAGCAAACTCGTTTTCTAAAATTATTTCTTCCGCACTTATAGTAAGTCTTAATATAGCATAAGTCATTTCCAGGACTAACCTATACTTTAGTTTACATCTCCCTTCTCCCTATAATTCTCTCTCTCCTCTGTCATTTTCATTTGAGTCTTTCCCGTTTCTCAATTTTCTTTTTTGTTCCACCAATTTGATTCATTCTTCTAGTTGAATTGATAACGGACCATGTTTTATATATATTAGCAAAGGATCTACTTATATAAAAGGGATACTATTTTTACTTTATAATAAGTAATCCAGTAAGGTGGGAGATGAGGGAAACAAATATTCGAGGCGGGGGTCACCCTCAAGTTTGCCCTTAAGTCTAGGTTTATTGGTCGATTAGCTTATAAACTCAAATAAGGGAGTTCTCGTCAAACAACCCCTATGACCAGTCTACCGAAAAAGTCGATAGCCGTTTACCGCATAGACTTTTATCATATAACTTCTCATTGATTTTTTTTTTCCGGCAAGTAATATTACAACATCATCTAATACTATAACCAAAGTACCTATGATAGGTCAAAACCTTATGTATTGATTTAGGATGCTTTTGTTATGATAATAATGATACCATACATAATCTATTATCCAAATATGAGATTGATATATTAAAATAATTAATTGACGCACAGTTATCTAAATTACCATCCAAACGTGGTATAGTTGGGATAGAATAAAATGGGTAGACTAATTATTAGGGGGCCCGGGATAGGGATGGAGGGAAGTCTCGTAGGTGGCATGGGTCTCTCTGTCTCTCTCCCTGCTAGCATTCTAACTATGGGTACCCTAGTACAATAACATTGGAAATCAAACACTGAATGACCAAGGTAAAATCAAACTC